CAGCAGGAGCATCGGCCAGAAAGATTTCGCGTAGTTTAAAGGATTCATTAATCGTTAGCCGACTGTTAGCCTTGATAAATTTCATGGAACTTCGCCGTGCGTGTTCCGACAATTGTATATTGTTCTATTCTCACCGTCTTCCTGCGCTCCGCTATTACTTTACCACTCTCTTATGCACTTTGTTTTTCTAATTTATATCGAACGGACCAACTTTAAACGCTGCCCTGCAAGAAAGTTGCAACAAATTGAATCGCGCATGGAGTATCCTGTTACACACGGTGTCTGACCGCAAATATTTAAATTACAGGAAACGGTGGTGAACGATAGTCGCTTTTCAGCGGCGGTACCGATCGACAGAGAAGTTGTGACTCGTGTCGAGAGTATCGACAAGTGCTTCGTTTCCGATACGGCGAGGCGCGGGATCGAAAGTGGTCGAGGTGATCTTTCATCAGTGAATCCCTGAAGCGAATGTAGTGGAGAAAGTGGTTGAAGCCAGTGCATGGTCAGACGGGGAGTGATCGATCGTCCAAGCGGTTTTAACTTTCCCTTAGACGGATAAAAGTGTATTCAAGTGGTTGAAAAAGAAAATTATTCGAGCCGATTGAAATAATGTGAGGATCGGTGCAGATGTCTGGTGTTAGCTGGATGGAAACGGAGCCACGATATTCCACAACCTGGTATTCGAACATCGACGTGGCACTAATGGGAATTCAAAGCACCGCTCAGTTCGTCGAGAAGTACCACCATATTATCGGTGAGATAGTATTTCTAATTTCTTCTTTGGATACAGTTCCGTGTTTCATCGCCTCCAAAATAGGACAATATTTGCATCTGAGCCTAGTCTCAGGTTGCGCAAATGGAAAAGGTCGAGAGAGGAAATGCGATTGTGCCTTAACCTATACGCCACTCAACCGCTATTATAAATAGGAACTTTAAACTTCCTTTTAAGTAAAAAATACAAAAATTCAACCGATTATAACTTTTTCATTATTCGTTTGCGCAACATGGGACTAGGCTCATTCGATAGGACTCGTCGAGATCTATCAGAGGACATAACTTAATTTTTGTTCTACGGCCGGTGAAACATGGAACTGCAGCCTCTTTTTTTTAATTATAATATCATTCACGAGGAGAAGGAGAAACTGTAAAAAAAATATATATGTACATATATTATCGTGGTGTGCACGTGTTGTATCGTTACATATTTTCCAAGTGCAGAGGTTGCAAGATCTTGGTATAATTTCCACGGGCGCGATAAATCTGCCAAGTTGAATGTAGTTCCGCGTTGAAAACTTCGGTCACCGGCGCGCATGTACCAGTGAAATAAAACCGATCGTCTTGCATACGCAAGCGAGGCCCGTTTACACCAACAACGCGGATTTATTTATGAAAATGTTATAATTTCGTGCACTTTTCACCGGGCCGTTTTACACGCGTTTTACGCGTCGTCGTAAAGTTATATACGGAGCGGGGGTAATAAGAAAACTCCACTTAATTATTGCAACGCGATCATCGTTTTGCTCCTCCATGCTTCTTCGTGTTTAATTTTTATCTACATCGTTATTTATGTATTTTGACGTTTAACGCGTTGTACGACGCATGAGTTATTGATCGTTTACTCTGTTTATTGGCATCAGAATCGTAACGCGTCGACTGCCGCGAGTTTTAAAAAATCATAATCGGTTTTATATCACTATTATCGATATTACTTAAATAGCGATTTTAATTAAAAATCATTTGTAAAATCCTGTAGATGTTACATAGCAGCACAAATTTTTTTAAGAATTCTTTAAATCACTCGATGATTTGCCGTGAACGATTGAACTTTGAATTGTAATTATCTATAATTAGGCGTTGCCATGAAATTACATTAGTCATGTACCGTAAGTTTCACGCAGCATAAAACGTGTTAACGCTGGAACTACCGGATCTCGGCGTATACTTACTTTCAACTTAAAAATAAAGTAGACAAATAAATAAATAAAGAATGAAGCATATACTAGTATATACAATTCTTTATCTCAACAAAAGTGAACATACGTTTCAACAAAGCATCTCAATAAATTCAGCAATTTAAAATAAGAATTCTAAAGCCAGTCATTTTGGTGATATGCTAATTATAATGTCAAAGTATTTCACAGTTTCTTCTTCTTCATCTAAGTTTAATAATTATTATTAGGTTATCCTAAAAGTTCATGTCTTTTACATAACGAACTTTTAGAATGATCTAATAGTAGGTATCGTATGTTAGAAAGTAATTTTTATCGTAGAACTTATAGACTTGTATAATCTTGTATGCGCCCGGTTGTTGACCGGCGTTTGGAACCGTGTTACCATTTATCCCGAGACGATCTTTGATCATCCCTCTTTCCTTCTACAGAGTCATTTAGAAATGATGCGTAGCGATGAATGTAAGCACAAAGAGAGGATGTTCGCCAACGCGAGTTGTCCTTTTCCTTCTTACACTCTCTGTCTTTCAATTTCTCAAGCAGCTCGCCACTTTGACAGTGGTGAATCGTCGTTTTTGTAGTAGCCTCTTGTAAATTCGTAAATCAAACGTCAGCCCGATAAAAGCTCATTTTCGGTGGAACCGTTGAAACTAAAGCAATGTACTGCTTTTCGGATAAATGTTGAGACTCTGATCACCGAAGGTCTAATTGCGTCTTGAAAAAAAAATAATTAACACTTTATCTACCGGAAGCCTATTAATAAGCTTTTTGACGGTATCGGCTGTTGAAGAAAATGGTTTGATTATTATAAATTCATATATAACTCAGTTAGATATATACTTTAATTAAGAGGAAATTGAAAAGAAAGGTTACACCTTTTAATCTTTAGTTATTGTTAATTATAAAGTGGTAGCGCATATCTATTTTATTTATAGCCGCTGGGATAATGCGTTAATAATCTTTCATTGGAAATTGGCGAAAGATACAAATTTTCATCTCGGCTGAACAATTCAGAAGATTAGAAATCCCACGCTTTGTTAGTTAGCGGTTTCTGTAACCATTGACGAAAGGTGATCGACAGTTGGACAGCGATCGGGGTGGGGTCTCTCTGTATATATTTAAAACCGTTTCGTCAGTGATTTTCCCGGGCTGTCTGAAATACGTCGGCGGGAACTTACTCGCCGTTCGATAATTCCTCGACCGTACGAATGGTCGTTTCCTTGGTGTAGATACTAGTTTGCTGTCGCTTCGCGTGCCACGCGATTTCGTCCTTGCCTTTTTCACGATGATGCACCGTGGCTAATGAGAAAAATCGATCGCGCTCGTAATTCGCCTGTTTATTGATAGCGTGAGGCTTCGTCCAACAAGCCACGACGTTATTTTTAGGAGAGCCTTTTTCAAATATACCTTTCGCTTCGTTTCGCGTGTTACGGAAACACACCCTTTCGTCTTGATACGCTTTACTTACGATCAAAACAATAGGGAGGGAACCGATTGAAGTCGAGCAAACAGGCGGCTATTACTTTCCAGGGATCGTTTGATAGTTGAGCTGATTTTAATTAAAAATAAGCAGGGGTCGTCAGTGTTTTCTTGTTAAATATTGAAACCTGATTCTTTTTCCTTTTTTTCTTCAGCTTTCCTGGCATCTTTCTATGGATAATAAGAATTTTATTAAAAAAAGAAATTTAGTTAGAAAAAGAGCCGAAGACCACAGCAAGGTTAATAGATAGTACACCGGTTTCGTGCATAGACCCTGAGCAATCGTTTTCATGGATTTTTGCCAGCTAACGTGGATTGAGCCCGTGTCTGTTCGTATATGTATTCATGCTCGCATGAAATGTCCGCGCGTGTATGAGCGGGTTACTCGTACGATACGTCAAGGAAAATTTCGTAGTTGACAGTTGCTTGCCTACGTCACTACTTTGAAATAATACGGCTGAGAAACGAGGGCCACCGCGAATAACTCGTTTCCGTGAATTTTCTTCGTTAATGCTTCAAACGATTGTCGGCTCGTATTCAGATGTTGGATTATCACGATAGACGATTCGACGAGAAGAAAGGGTTCTAACAGAGAAATAAGATTTACATTTCATAGCATGAAACAGACGTATAGCATAACGATTATACTACCTAATTAATTAAGTAAAAAATGAAAAAAGTTTCTAATGATTTGGGTGATGAATTTCTGTGGTCACCCACATATGGATGACGCGGCAGTCAAAGTATTAATTAAAATTTTATTCTATGTACATTCGCATGACTCACGAGTATTATTATCCAATTTACCAGTTTGATTAATTTTCATTGTTAATTTTAGAAGATATTTAAAAATAAAAAGTAGAAGATTATTAGTAGAATCTAAAGAGAAGGCATCCATTTGTAGATGAAAGTAACTTTAATTTATCTTTTTCTCAATGATTGACATTACGAACCTAAATCACTTTCAAAAAATGACTCATACAGAACAAAATTCACCGAATCTACACGACGGTTCTTGAAAAAATCCTACACGTAACTCGGATGAAAAAGCACTCGGGGCGCAGAGCACGTGCAGCCTAAATTCAACAGCCTCTGAGCTGTTCGATTTGCGGACGAAAAGCAGATTTATCATCTCAGCGAGAGTTCGAACAGCTTTGGATTCGATCAGCGATGCACGCGGCAACGATAATGCTTAATAAAACCGGCCTTGACTATTTTCGAACGATCTAAATATTTTTCTGTCGTTATCCGTCATTTCTTCAACGCGCTAGCTCTTCGCGATCCATCCTTCTCTTAGCGCGTCTAGTAATTAGTTAACCGTATCGCGATACTCGATGAAATACAACGAGACCCGACCACCAGTTATTACAACTCCTTTTCGTCGTTGCCTGAACTTCTGCCAAATAATCGTAAATCGTAAATGCAACGACGGTACACGTGTCACAAGAATGCAGATCGCGTACGCGCAAACACGAATTCATCATATTCGTGTTTTCTTTTCTTTTCTCCAGACTCTTCGTCGATGTTTCAGTAGGATGAAAATATTTTTCTGATATTCGAAAGTGATATGATTTTTATTTGAAATATCAGAAAATATTTTTCTGATATCCGAAAGTGATATGATCTTTATTTGAAATATCAGAAAATATTTTTCAATCGTTGAATAAGTCCTGTTTTTATCGCTCCTCGAAGAGCTCGTATATGCATAATTACAGCATCCGTAATGATACAGCAATAATACAGCGTGTATCGTGAATTGAAAACATATTGCGTGACGGGGGACAAGGTAACACAGGTAAAAAAGCGAGTATCCGTCGACGGGTAGATTAGTTCGAGCGAATTATTGGCATCGTATCGGTGTCAATGAGTAACACGTTCGCGACGATGCTTCTCGTGTAAAATCGAACAGGCTTTCTCATAATCCCGCGACAAACATGAGATCGATATACATATACTTCTAGCACGTAGTATTTGGCGCGGATCCTCGTTCCGCTTGCGTGTACCAACCAACTGGTTGGCATACGCCGAAACCACGCCGCATTATCCATAAATAAGTGGTATCCGCTTCGAATGAAGCGCGTAAACGCGACCACAGGTAGACGGGATTATTGCTTCAATGGTATCTGTTTCTCGTACGTTCGAGAAACGTATGCACTCGAGGAAAGGCTAAAGGCCTACCCGAGTCTTTAGGATCTCTTTCCACGTATTACATACCAAGTTGCGGAACGTGGGGAACAGAAGGAAGAACGGGGTCACGCACACGTGTCGTGACACGAACGTCGTTTCTTGAACGGCTTCATGGCTAGACGCGCGAACGAGACGGCCCGTAGCAACTATTAACGCGTACGGGGTCACCGATGACCGGTACCATCAGTTTCAATTATTTAATCAAGTGAAAAATGGAAAAAGCGATTTTTACAACAGCAATCAAAGTATCAACGTTCTGACTGCCGCGGGTATAAGCACTGACGAGTTTTACGGATTTAATGTGCCTAATTGAATAATTAACACGTTGAACGCCACAGTGAAATTGGGTATTTTTTGTGGGACGTATTAAAGCTCTAATTACTAAGAATAGTAATAATTAATTTTCAAATTTCAAGCTTTCTATTTGGCATTTCACATTATTTGTACCATAGCAATAGTACTTAAAATAATGTTTTTCTATTGTTTTCTTTTAATTATCCAGGCGTGTATAAGTGACTCCCATGGCGTTCAACGTGTTAACGCGTTAATTGCTGTAGATTTTTTATGGACTTTTCTAATTGAATATGCTTATTTGTTACAATGGGGGTTGAAATTAAAATTGTTGGTTATTTAATATTGCAAATGAGTCCACGTGTTATTTGATATAATAGAAGAAAAATTCCGGCTATTATCTCGGTCTCGAATGGGTTAATCTTGCACGAGACACCATGCATTTAATGGGACAGAACCTTGAGGCTTAATTAGCCGCGTGCTCGTTGCTTGGTATTAATCATTCGTTCGGTAAATCACTCGTATCAATGTTGGAAATGGCCAGTGTTTCGGCTATTTTCGACGGACAGTCTGCCGGATCGGTTTTATTTCACCTTCTCGGAAGAAATTTTCATCGTAATCCCGAGCTTTTCCCCGTCAATCTAGCCTGGTAAAACCGCGCTGCCATGATCGAAGAGTTTCACAGGTTTCCTAGAAGGAGACGCGTGTTTCTACTCGGTTTTGTTAGGATAGAGATTCCGTGAATTTCACGGGCAATTTTTATTTATGACAAAGAAGACAGGTAGCAATCGTGACAAGTGAAATAAGCCGTTACTTATTGTTAGTCTAGATCTGACTGCGCTTTGATCAACGAGAATAAAGATCTTTTCAAATTTATCAAACGGTATACATATAACGCATATCACACTTTTCTGAACATTAAAATTTGATTGATTCAATTTATAAGAAATAACGTTAGAAAATGAATGTTAATGCAGTCGGTACAGTTCCTATTCTAAATTCGTGCATGACATAGCACCGATGTTACTGCATGACATAATACCGAAGCTAATGGCACGAAACGTTACTATTGCATGCAGCGCTCTTTAAGATCTAGCTCAGGATGTAGTTGATTGAACAAGTATATGTTAGATGATCATAGATTCTTGTTTTTTTTCTAAATTATAATTTTTCTTAATTTTTCAAAATATACCATCGATAAATCGGCGATGATTGATCAAGTCTTCTTTTAAATTTAAATCTCCATTCGGTAAATGAGAAAACTTTTCTATCGGTACAAAGAAAATTCCTTTATACAATTACTCGTATATTTTCTCTAATTATGCAATTAAATTACCCCCGTGGAAGTACGACCCGTTAGTCACCGATGACCGATACGGCAGCAGCCCGGTAAAGGGTTAACATCTCGCGGACGAGGAGCAGTATCGATGCCGGGAAAACTAGTGATTTCCCTTAGCTTGCAAGCATAGCTGCCACCTGACGAGCTTTCGGTAAAATAGACCGTTGTCCGTATAGTGGCGACTCCCGTCGGTTTCGTTCGAAACGATGAAAAGCTCGAAGCTTTTCAGCCAGCAAAGCTCCGCGAAGTCGCACGCGACGAACGAACGGGCAAAATTACCGGCGCGGCGCGTGCGACGACCTTGCGATATTCTTGCGTACCGCTAAAAATAATTTGCACATTTTATAATACGACCGGCAAGGACTGACCGACCAGCCGATCGTCGATCGTTTTCTCCACGGCATATTTCGAAAAATTCGTACCACCCGATCGCTCGTTAAACAACGACGAGACTTTTCGTCGTCGATCCGACGGGGATTTTCACGATTAATCGCGATCGATCCTTGTTGAAATAAGAAATAAATAATCGAGAGTACAAATAAGCAGGAACCGATCGTTGGGTCTGCAGAGATTCTAAATATTGACGGAGGAGATGAATCGCTATACTGGCAAACGATTGTTCGACGATGTTATATAATATCGATATATTGCCGTATTTTGGGGGAAAATTGATTTTCATTGGTATTCGAAAACGGGATAATTATCGATACGATCGCCAGGTGACATTCGAAGTTGCGACTAAATATCTCGCGCAGCTACTCGACTCCCATCTAATTGTATTGCCATTAATCTAAGAGACGTTTTATTTTTGGCTTATGCTCTCATCCAGACGATTCGATATACGATCCCCGCTGTTGCAAAGCATTAATTTAATTATTTTATTTCGCAGTCACGCTTATTTTAGCCGTCGATTTCGCTTGTCTAAATTTCAATCTTATATAGACACTTTCATATACATTTATATCATTCCCTATCGAAGGTTCGATACCTTTGAAAATGTCATCTTCCATTTTTCAGAACTCGAAATTACTCGATTTGATAGAGATTCAATGTTACAACAATTTTCAATAATTTCAATGATTTGAAATAACGAAATTGCTCTTCTGGCTAATTCTGATTGGCGATTAGATGCCAGTACCGTTCGTTTCTTTTGAGAGGACCAGTAGAATACCGGGATTCGCACGATGTATACGCGGCACAGACCAAGTGGTGGCGATCATGTGAGCACCAGAACAGAATTAACACGAAGGGGGGCCAATCCGGTATTTTTGGCGCGATTGTCCGGCGAAAAATAGATTCGTATGGCGGTTCGGATTAAAAGACGCCACTGGGACGATTATTCTGGCGCTGTTACGCTACCCGTGTCCTTCCGTAATTCTTTCTCTCTCGCACCTTCGTCTTTCTCACCTTAGTTTTGTCCATTTTAATTCACTTTTTATTCAATCATTTGAAAACGTACAGCAACGCTCTTCGCTACCGTCATTCTCATTTTCATATATTTTTAGCGATGGTTCATCGTGGTTATCAATCTCGAATGCCAGGATTCGAACGTGCTCATTAAAATCGTTGCGTAATTCCGAATCGCAATGTAACACACCTTCGTCGCTGGATAAGTATCAAGGTTTCCAAGGTAGCCGAATCTTTGGGTATCCAAGCCACTCGGTATTCAACTCTTGCCCGAGAAGTGTATATTTATTCTTGCCGCTTACTTTTTACGCTTGAAACTCTAAATATTATCGCGTTGGGATTTGCGTATATACACTTTTTCATTGGTTTGACGTTAGAAACACACTCCCTCCCCTTTAATTCTCGAAACGTAATTGATTAAAAATCCTTCGTAATGACCCGAAGCTCGCTAAACATTCTTTGTACCGATACCGGTGTATTCTTTCCATCGAGACATTTCGAAAAAAAAAAAAAAAAGGAAAAAGAAAAATGGTTTGATGGATTTATGATTCTTTCTCGTCTGAAAGAACAGATACTTTTACGATCAGTTGACTGACGGTGGAATGAATCGACGTGTCACGAGGTTGCGATCGCGCGACATTCCGCTGTTTGTTATGCCGGCGGAGACTCACGTGGCGATGCAAATGATTTTAAATAGGCCTGGCCGAGAGTTCGCTCGAAATAGCGACAATCAGTCGATGACATTACGCGTCGCTCTCTTCATGACGGCAGGTTCGACATCGGTCATCAGCCAACTCATCCCAGTGGATCGTCATCGATCGATGACGAGCAGAGAGCTTCTGCGTCTTGCGATCAACGACTCGTACTCTACTTTCATTCATGAACGTCCGCTATCTTGTACGAAACGTTCTTCCTATCGGAGCATTTCAGTTATGTAAACTGAATCGACAGACGAGGCTATTGATTTTCTCGAGCGCAATTGTTAAAACGAGAATACGCGATTTTTCCTGATGAATGGGAAATGAAATTTTCGTGAGTTACAGAGTAATTGGTATCACCGATCAAATACGAAACGTTATTTCATCAAACGTGACAGATAGATAGCCAGTTTTATTATAGGGGTGTTCAATATTGACGTTTTATCATGACAGTAGTAAATCTCACATACTGGTAGCTCAGCACGTTCTTTTTTCCTTTGCGAATTCACCCTCGGAGAATTACGAATAATCGGCAGGATTATATTCGCATCGGAGGAGATTCAAGAGGATAGGTTTTATTTAAATTGCTATTCAAGACGACTTCTCAAGAGGAATACCTAAAAATTTGCAAAATCATTCGAACAATTTTTCCTATTCCGAAGGACACAAACAATCTTTTAGGAATATTTGCATAGAAATGGCCGCTTAGGTCCGCGAAACCCGCTTTCTTAACGATAAGAAACTTTCGAAACGCGCGGACAAGTACAGATAAGATTCCCCGGCAGACGCCTCGGCGTCTTGAGTAGAAATACGAACATAAACGCTGAAGATAGCGTTGTCGCGATAATTCGCACCTTTGTCGATTTTTTATCAAATTCCAACTCGATCAACCTATTTGATTAAAAAAATGTTCATAATTTTATCATTTCTTTTCGCGAAACGACGGATCGAATTTCACACAGAACACGGATTAATCATCGAACTCGCTATTGATTCTTCGTCAGCTTTCATATTTTTTTTTTGGAGCGAACCATTCACAGGTTAGAAATTCGGAGCGCAATCATCAATAAATCAGTCAGCAATTTTCCGGGCGAAAAAATAGTCTCGGCAGAGCTAGTCGGCCCCTGATTTACGATCGCCATATAGCAGAGACCAGGGTGTGGTCTGACTTGCATTAGAGAATGAGTCTCGAAATAGTCCCGGACGTGGAATATATCCCCCGGAATATTAGGCAATGCCCCCATAGCAATTTTTACGTCAATGGTTGCGCGCGGTACAAAGAAATGTCCCACATTTTCACTCCCGCCAACGTTGAGTAATCGATGCTCCCTTAACCTTCCTCTTGCATCTCTGAAATTCTTTTCTCAACTTTCGTGTTTCTCTTCTTTGTTTGCCACTCCCCTCTCTCAACCATTTTTCTCTCCAACTTTTCCTTCCAAACGAAATTGTACGTCGTCGATCGGTTGGAAGGATCCTTTCGCAACGCGCACTGCTAAATTTCTCTCGAAGCACGTAATTTCGAATGCAACGAGACAAAAGTTTGCGGCAGAGTTGCTTGAACCGACGAATTTAGACGTTGCACGTCCGCCAGGAATTTCTTCTTACCGTTTGGCAAAGAAAATTGATATTGCCGACAGAATCTCCTCGATTCGAAAGAGTTCGCCATCCTGAGCGTTGATATCGAACGAATTACACAACGAGACCGGATCTCTACATAACTTTCCCGTAAGATTATTATGACAACCCTTCGTTCCGCTCCGATATATCTTCAGACGTCGTCGACTTTCCCCGACGGCCAGTTCGTCTGGCAGCGATTCTTCATCACCGATCTCGAAGAAGAAACACACGCCTCGATACCGTCAGTTTTCCAAACCTTCCGATCTCTCTTCCTTCGCGGTCGTTACTCGCTAAAAGAACTACATATTTCCGACGCGTTCCGAAGCGACGTATCCGTTCCGTTCGGAAAATCTGGGAGGCTGTTACGAAAACACCGGGAGAACCGCGTCGCATTTTGTCGCGCCACTTCGCGCGTCGTTCGGCGAGGGTTAAAAAGCGTGCTCGCGTCGCGTTAGCGGTTGTCGATCGTTATAAACAAATGGCGAAGGCGGGGAGGGGGGACTATCGTACTATGAGATACGCGACGGCTGGCTGCACGGAGACCTGGCTCGCCAGAAAGACGGCGTCGGTATTTGGCAAACGATGACAGCGTGGTCGAGACACCACCTCCGGCTGGTCTCTGCTCCCAGGAACCCTAGACCCAAGTCTCTGCGCCTCTTCCGTCCTATCTTCTCTCTATAATATCTTCCTCCTCCTCGTCTCTCTTCGTCTTCATCCTCGTATTCGCCTCTCGCTCCCCTTTTCTGTCTTTCGCATTCGCTGCTCTCTTCGCGTTAAGAGAGGCACGGAGAGAAGAGAAGGGGCAAAGACGCTTTTAGACACGGAGCGTCCACGAGCGTCGCGACGCCTTGAGAAGCAGTAGTCGCGTACCTTAGGCAGCTTCCACCTTGCCGGCTCGGCTCGCGGCCGTACGTAACGTGATTCTTCGCCACGTCTGCTCCGAAACATCCCCGCGATCGTGACGCGCTTCTTTGTCCACTCCAGGAACCCATATGTCGTATGGGAACAGAGATACGCGTGGTAGGATACCTTAAAGAAAGGGGAGCAAGGACGATCTCAGTGGTTCTCAATTGGAGAACAATCGGTGCTCGGTGGTAGCGATCTCTAACGTGAATCAGTTCACTTTGCCACAAGATTCGTGGATGCTTTTTCTGGATAAAATATAGACAATCGGTTACTGTTGTCTCGACAAAGTCGATCCTCGTGCTTGTCATGACGTAGAATGCGTGTCAATGAGAATCGCTCGAGAAGAGAGAGAGAGAGAGAGAGAGAGAGAAAGTGTGTCGCGCTGAGATTCGAGAGAAGGTGTAGAAAAAGGAGACAGTGGTCGGCTGAATTTCGCTGGCATCTGCGAAGTCTAAATTAATCTGGAGCCCGTTGTTGTTGAAATTACGAACGCGGGCCTGCTGTTGCTAGTCGGCGTAAAAACAGCGTACGCGGAATAAAACTTTCGTACGAGGAATAAAAATAAGCGTGATACTAAGAAGCAGGAGAGAATTGGATCGGTTTCTACTCGCGCATGGAAAGGACCGGTGATTTCCCAGTCTGGACGAACAAGTGGTCATTCGACACTTTGTATCTAGGAAAAACGCTAGATAACACTGGTCCGTTTGAATCTTTCTCTTCGTGCAGAAATAAGCGCGATTACGCTTTCTTCTAAATACACGCGTATCCTCGAGCTTGCATCCTTGATCGTTCTTCTTCGCTATCAGCCAGAAACTTCACAGTTATCGTTGCTGAAATAAAAAAAGAAAAAGAGTTCCTTCGAGGTGACAGGGTCAATAGTGCGAGAGTGAAGTGCCTGTTCTGTTAGATGAACGGTGGCTCGACAGCGAGCGCCGATGACATCGGTCGTGAGTGAATCTTCCGCAAGGTGTTCGGGAATGATATAAGTGTGTTCCGAGTGGACGACTGTTCGGGTCGTCGATCGTTGATCGTGTTCAGAGAGTAAAAACAATTCGACGAAAGTGGTTCGCGTGGCGAAGAAGGAAAAGGACGCGACGATGGCGGAGCGTCCTGGGGGTAGGAGACGTTCGCGTCGCGACAGCGTTGAAACGGGGGGTTCGATACGCGGCACGCCGCCTGCTTCTAGAGATCGAAGGACTAAACGATCGAGCAAACCGTCCAAGGAACGATGGTTGCTCACGAGAAAAACGTGGCGTTACATGGCGGATGCCGGGAGACGTTTGATCCCCGATGGTACGCACAATCGGCCCGAGGATATCCCCAAGATAGAGCAATACTTCCAGGAAGTATGCCAAAAAGAGCCGAGATTTTTGCTCTGGCGCAAGGCTTCTTATCCCGGAACCTTGGGTTTCCGCTCGCAAAGGCGTCGTAGGCAAATAAAAGGTGGCAGTTGTCGAACGAAAGCCAGCTCGGCCGACGAGGCGGACGACGTTAGAAATCCGCCTCAAAGTTTTCTTCTTCGAACAACGACAGCCGGCAAGTTCGACCTGGCCAAAGCGAAAAGGGAATGGTTGCTGGCGTCGGAAGGAGGCAGCACACCCTCGAGTCCTCTGGAGCACAGAAAGTTCCAACAGGAGGACGCCGAGACCAAAGCGTTGGCCGATATGTTACAAAAGTACCTGAACATGCAAAGTGACGTCGCTGGTACGACGAAATCGAGCGGAAGGTCGGATGTCTCCGGTCAGCTGGAGGGAAAAGAACCTTTCGATTATCAGAGTTTAATAGATAAGCTTCAACAACACCTAGACCTGATTATCGCCCAGGCGAAACTCGAGGAATTATCGGTTCAACGAGCTTCCTCGGATAAGGAGAAAGTACCCAAGTCGATGCAACCGTATCAAGGGGATTACGTTCATAAATCGCTTCTGGAAACTATCGGTCGTTACTACAGTAAATCTACGACCAGGGAACACGTAATCTCGGATATTCTGACCGATCGAAAGCTCCTCGAGAAGCTGTACTTTGATCTGAGGTGCACCAGAGGCTTCAGAGGACCACGTGCTACCGGTGCTTACACCTCGCCGTCGAGCCGTTGGTGGACCCATCAACGCACCAGATTGCCGACCAAAGATTCCGAAGATTGGCTATCGGTCAGAAGGGATCCCGTTTCCCTGCCACCTCTGATAGCCGTACAAGAGCCCAGCACCGATCGTGGCCCCGTAGACGATTCCGTCCAAACGGACCCTATCCCTCGCGAAGTCCTCGATGCTATCCTCTTAGAGAAAGAGAAGGAGGAAATGTCGAAAGACACGCCGGTGCAAAAAGCCGGCGGTCGTAGAAGAAGTAGCGTAGACAACGACGACGTGTCACCCTCTGTCAGCGATACCATCAAGAGGTACCTTCGTATGGCACGGAAAAAGTCGATGGACGCTGACAAAGTGGACAGGTTCAAACGGGTGAATTACGACAGAAACTTGAGGAATATAAAGGCAAAAGGGGAGACTACGAAAGTTAGCGACGACGAGGGGAACAACAAAGGATGTCAAACCGACGACAACTGGGCCGTTAATTACAGAGAAATGTCCTCTATGGAGAATCCTTGCGAAAATCTGTCGGACGCCGACACAACCACTTCGCCACCGAGTAGAAACGCGAGCTCGAGGAGCAGCATCGACGCTGGCCTCGGCTCGGAAGAACCACTAACCCCGAAGCACCATCATCAATCCTTCCTTTCCCATCTCCTGCACGGTTCCAACGCGCACAAGGATAAACCCCACTCGGCACCCGGTTCACCGGCACTCACGTCATCGTCCACCAATTCCGCAGGTGGCACAGCGATGCAGAAGAGCAAGTCCTCGAGCAGCGTGGTACATCACGGCAGCCGGTTGGTGGCCAAGAAAATCTGGAAGTCCAGGAGTAAGAGCACCTCGAGGGCGTCCAATCAACCCTCCGTATGGACACCTCAGGTGAGTTCTTTTGCACTTTCATCGTTGCTTTAGTTTTTCTTTCATTTTCTTTTTTCTTTTTTCTTTCTTTGCAAATTCTTCATAGACACGCATCGTGTGCTGTGAATTTTAATCATTCCCATGAAACTATTAAATGTTTGATTACTCTTTTTAAAAGTATTTTAATAGCTTCAGATATATTAGACTCAAGGAATTTTTTTTTTTTTTAAGTGATTTATAACTGATAGCTGTATGTAATTTCTTTTTTATATTCAGTGTATTTTATTTACGCATTGTAAACGAAGCGAAAACAAATATCACGTGCTATACATAGAGTTCTGCCTTGCCAAAACGCGTCTACGAATAATCTACTTAAACCACCTGTCACAGCATAGCTGAGAGTGTCCACCTCATTATAAGAAAGAAAACGAATTAATGATGTTACTATTAACATCTGGTGTGAAAATAGAGCGTTACTATAAATAACAATACTCGGCCACCTTGCTTCCTTAATAGCACTTGTAAATTAATTTTACTCACCACCAGAATGCGAACCATTTTGACCAGTTCAAATGTCTTCGACATTATCGTTTCGTCCACTTTCTTCCTGAAAAGAGTTTAAGGAAGACAATTCTAAAACTTTGTAATTTCTTTTCGATTCTAATCTTCTTTGAGAATCGACAGACACACTTCGTTTTTATTTCTTCTATATTAGATCGAAGAGAACAGCTTTTTCTTCTCTTCGATTCTTTTTTCCCTCGTGATTCCTTGTTGGCGCCAGTTATTCGGCTATCTTAGTTTTACCAACTGGTATATTTTTCTTCAGTCGGTGTTTACAAATTTTAGCCTCTTTTGAAACTTCAGGCACACTTTGTTTCTTATTTCAATCTTTTATGCTCTACGCTGGATGGCGAATTATCGGAAAGCGAGAAAAATTGAAATCAAAGCGTATCTGCAGTTTCTTTTTTCTTCACAATTTCTTCGTTTCTCAAATTCCTCGGCGTCTCAGACTCGTATCTCTATCTCTTTCTCTATTTTCCACAAATTTATAAAAAAAGAAAAAGAAATCGGAATTAGAGCAGGTACTTAATTTCTGTCAACCTCCCAGTCACTTTTCTTTCAATTTCTTCATTTCTTCTTCTTCTTCTTCTGTTTTTCCTGTTGCATGCCCTCTTTAGCGATCCCAGTTTCGACAGCTCGTCTATTTTTCTTTCCTGTCTCGTCGGTCACATTGTTTAATATCCGCGTGTGACCGAGTATTCGGAGGACGTGAAATAGAAAAAAAGGAGGCAAGTGCAAGAACAAGAACAAGAAAAAGAAGGTCGACCTTGTGGCAAGCGATCTCGTTAAGCGGTAAGGCGCGATAACCAATTTAGGGCCTCGGAATTTTGCCGGCGCCGCCAGAAATAGTCAGCCAACGGTGGTGTGTATAAACTATACTTAACCCCTGCTACTACTACTACGATTACTACTACTACTACTATTACTACTACGTACTCTAACACCAATGTCGTTTCTACTACCACTCGCATGCAGCTACACCAGAGAGTTACACTCGCCTTCGTCCACAATGCGCTCGCTATTCCAACGGGTATATGTATATGCACAGTCGCGTGCATGGATGACTTTTCTTGGTACAGGGAAAGAAATAGATGCGCATAGAAGCTAGATAAAACATAGGAATGTTGATGATTCTAAGCTTTGGTACTCCTAAGTTTCAGTACTCGAAACTCTAGTACTTCTAAGCTTTCGTGTTCCAAGCTTTTATATTTTTAAGCTCTAGTATTCTAAGCTTTGATACTCCTAAACTTTAGTATCCTAAGCTCTACTACTCCCAAGCTTTAATATTTCTAACCTCTACTACTCCTAAGCTTTAATATTCTAAGCTCTAGTATTCTAAGCTCTACTACTCCTAAACTTTAATATTCTAAGCCCTAGTATTCTAAGCTCTACTACTCCTAAACTTTAATATTTCTAAGCTCTAGTTTTCTAAGATTTGATACTCCTAAACTTTAGTATCCTAAGCTCTACTACTCCTAAGCTCTAGTATTCTAAGCTTTAATATCCTAAGCTCTACTACTCCTTAGCTTTAATATTTCTAAGCTCTAGTACTCCGTAGCTTTAGAGTTGCAAGCTTCGTTACTCCTGAAGTTTAATATTCTAACAAAATTTACACTTTCCTATTAACTATTGGAAGGCATTGATGCACGCCGCTGTACAGCCTCGAAAAACCTTCTATTCGTGAAAGTTTTTCGCCTTGGCCGTCAGGGATTAGAGAGCCGTTCTTGATCGTGCCACTTTGTCACGCGGTTTGTTACTCTGCGACAGAACGACGGAAAAATTTAAAAATATCACTGGCTCTTTCGTCGAGAGACACCGGCTACGATTTTCGATCGGAAATAAACGGATTCGATGTTCGCGATTCATTATGCCATCCGTTATACAGCGATTTGAGAAACAACGGGGGATTCGAAGGCGATGATTTATTATCACTGACAGTTAGTTTCAAAAGATGTATCTTTCATTTAGAAAATCGATTTTTAAATACTTTAAGTGTTCAACTGTCACGGTAAAAACAACTATGCCCAATATGAATTATTAACCCGCTGGCCATCGTAAGGGTTATCAGTGACACCTAAAACTCTTCTCTTCTCAAAACTAAAATTAATTTATCAATACTTTGGTCGGGACATTGTTTTGATAGAAACATTCTGGTTTTTGCCAAAAGAATTCAGCGCAATACTACAATTCTCTCTTACGAGGGATAAAGTTGGCTATTTTATGTATTCGTATATTTTTTAGGTGAAATCTCTTTTCTTGTATTCGAATTTTTTTCATTTCTTAAAATACCACGGAGGCGTTTCGAAGAACCGACGAACTCGATATAAATTTCGATACAAGTATTCCTAATTTAAAACGATGAAAATGTAAACTTATTGCAAATGTTTCTGCGTTTAAAATGTTTTACTCCAGACAAAAGGATTAATTCACGAGTTAAGCCCGAAAAATTTGGCGTACTCACGTCCCTTTGTGTGTTTATTGAAATGATGGAAAATCAACCGATGGTACTAGTTCTATCCCTTCTAAACCTTTATTGAAACCTTTATAGCACGACAAAACGTTCGATCAATCGACAGACCGGGGTTGGATTTTACCAGTGATTTTTTTACGGTCATTGCGTTCTTTTCTTCCTTTCACATTGATACACCCACGTGTCATGATTTTAACTACATCGGTAAACACATTCTGTGATCGAGCTAACGTCACCGAGTATCTTTAGCTGTGAATCGTGCACTTCGTATTTTATCGCCGAAAAACCCCATTTTCTATGATCAGTGCAATTTTATTCTCAAAAATCATACGTCTGCGCGCACTTTGCGAAAGAAACACTCCACTATTTTCGTCGAGAAAACATGAAAATGTGAAAGTGTGTTTCCCTTCTATGCTCGTTTTTTGGGGGTAAATTTGCACTAATGAATTTTAAATACCTGTACATCAGATAATATTAACAAAAACATGAGATTTATAAGACTTTCACGTGAATTATATTGAACTGCTTCATGTTTTATTGTTGTTGTGCAAACTGAGAATTAAATATGATGCAAAGTATGAAATAGTATCCTAGCTTTAATTAAAAGTACTTCCTTTTGTTTTCTTTTCACACCAGGGAGCGTCAATATTGTCCGTTTTCTTAAATTAAAAACAACCACTTCTATTACAGTTATTAAAACTTCATTCTATTACACGGCAGGTCTAGAGTAAAAACATAAAAAAATTTTAATTAAAAAAGATTGAAAGTGTGAAACGTGTCAGAAAGGTGGGCAAATTATTTATTAGCCACAAAATGATAGTCAGGCTAATTAAACTTTAATTAAGCATATTAATTATGGTTTAATTATAAATTACATCAAAATTGAATCTAGCTTCATTATTCCTCGCCTCTATTTAATATCCTGTATACGAAATGAATTTTGCTAATTAACACCCAACTCTGTTGTTAAACTCGTGTAAATTTTTGTACAACCAATTTGGAAATAACTAGCCAGAATCTAGGATGACCTGGTATCAGAATTTTTTAAAATTTCAACGCGATGAAAATTGAAGTTTCGTGGAAATTGAGAAGAACCTGTGAAAACGTGTTAATTTGATTACAGGGAAAATGCATGTGGGCGGGAACTGCAGGACGACGCGTCACCCTGCAGGATACTCCCCTTAGGTCACTGTCAGAAATCGAGAGGAAGGTCCTTTGCAAGGTGGCTGTCGCGAAGCTTCAAGCACTTAATTTAGGTGTTCATATCAGGCCACCAAGTGGTAAGTAATTTTCAATAACTATCATCTTAAAATCACAGGAAAATTTGGAGGATTTTATTCTTCATTTTTCTTTGATGAAGTTAGTACTCTGTCTGATATTTACGTTGAAATCTCATCTTAGACGTCTTAGACGATGATTGACGTGTTTACTAGTATAAAGTGTAACTTCAACATCGCAATACCCTCTTTCCAGAGGTATCACGTATACGTAGCTTTCAAAAGCTTTTAGAAAAAATCTATTACTAATTTTGAGCAATTTTTATTTTCATAAAAACTTGAAAGCACCTTTTCTTTAATCGATCAGTGCATAGAATATTTACGATGACCGTAGACTTATCGATTAATTAATTTGATCACATTAAAATCTCGGATATTCTGATTTCATTTTTCATGATCTGTTTTAATAAAATTTACAATTGAAATACACACTGGATGTATAGAACCAGCTTACGTATGTTTCGTAATATCGTAACGCGAATTTTTCTGCGGTGCCTCGATGTGGTCGTTGACGTTACTCAACAATCAAGAAGGGATCGCGTTTCATCGGGCTCTATTTCCTCGTGTTCATTCCGCGTCTCTTTGTTCCACTTCCGTATCTAGGCGGAAGCGAATCAATGAAACCACAGATAAATAGAATACCAGGATTTCTTATTCAAATTCGCTCTCCATAGAATTCATCTGTATTTTTTTCTCCTTTTTTTTACATTTCAGTATGTCTTGGTACCAGTGCCGTTGTCGCGAAACCCAAGAGAAGAGCGCCTTTGCTGAAGAGGAAGGCCCTAACGACGGGTTTCTTCGACAATAAAGGAAAAGACGACAAGGAAAAGGGTGAGTCACCAGTTTGACTTATGGTCAGTAATATTTTTTAATTAAAAGATAAGGTAAGCTACGTTAAGTATATGATGGCTCTCGCCTGTCGACAAGTTACGTTGCACTTGAAATTAATTTCATAAAGTCAACAATTAAACGCGGTAAATTAAGTGCGCAGTTTAATGTGCGGAAAGCGGCATAGTTCACGATCGAAGATTTATGGTGCGTTTATTTGTTTGGACGAATAACTGGTTCAGCTATTTTCAGGTGCGATTCTGTCTGCAAAGGTTCGCTTCAGCTAGTGCTCTATCATTTTATACGTTTACGACATTCCTACACATACACGTATTTTCATCAAACCGTAGCCGTAAGAAAGACAAATATTATCATTGGGATAAATACCCGACTGTTGTTCGGTTTCTCTGTGTCTCCTCCTTTTCAATTCCGTTAACAATAATTACGTAAATCGAGTATAAAGATTCCAAAAGGTTTCACCGCTTGAACGCATTCATTACTCGATATAATACAAAGAAATTATTCACCCTCCCCTTATTTTATATGCATAGGTCAGGCGTGAAATTTCCACTTGTTCAAAGGAACACAATGTTAAGCAGCTTCTATTTCTCTTTTTAACCATTATTCCCCGTTCGTTGTAACGGGTTCCAAAGCTAGCTTTGCGTTTCCCTGTTCTCTGCCTTATATTAGCAAGCTAATATTCACCCTGTGGGTGTTTCATTACTTTCCTCCATCACCGAGGTCCTGTTTGTAAAGCTCTCGTAACGCCGCGTATCGGATAAAATACTGCGCGTGTTATTTGAACGGAAGTCGAAGAGAGGAGTTTCCATCCTCGTGTTCCGACAATTTGCGATTTTTTATCATAGCCAAATTTTCAAGTTGGGCTCGAATAAAGATCCGATTATTTCGAATGAAATCTTAAAGCATCGAATTCACTTCTATCTTTGAAAGTTTGCTCACGAGATAATTCGTCCAGGTGATATCAGGCACGAAGAATAATTATAATACTAATTACCCACGGTTCTTATTCGCGGTGCGAAGTAACCGATGGAAAATAAAAAGCAGTCGGTTGCCCATGTGCGAGTACCAGGCTGCAACAACAGCATCGGCCAGCTTGGTATGAGACACAATTTCGCCGGTTAAAATTAGCCACGGGGTGCTTGGTGGCGGTGCATATTTCCGCATATACCAGGTTTATTTGCAGTTCGAGTCGGGTACCAGTGTCGTGGAGGATACCGGACGTCAATCGGATACTGGAGTGGCCCTGCCACGGGGTCGTCTACTCGAAAAACCACCCCTTTCAATTATTCTCTCGCTCGCTGGCAATCTGTACACGTGTATCGAATTGTTATACAAACTTTCAATTCATTGGAACAAAAATTGAGCGAAGAAGAAATCACGATTCACATATAGGTATTGGTTTCAAGGTAGAACCGCGTATTTCAATGAGAATTGCATTTCCTTTAAGTCGCAAATCTGACGAAAGCTGTTCTTAGAATAAATAAATGTTTCAAACAAAGTAGCTGGAAACTAGAAATACGGTATCGAATCCTCCTCGTTACCAAAATGATTTATATTCCCCTTGTAGCCACGTGCGATCGTTAAAGAAGACCGTAGAAAATTTTGATGAAACAATTTCCTGTACGTCGAACGTATTTGCTAATAACGTCTCTCTGTGCCAATCAGACCATCTTGGATCATTTCCTTCGTTTAACACCGCTGAATAACGAAAATGAATGGACTTTTCCTGGCCATGGACAATTATATTAACCCAATTTATCAAATAAATACACTTTATTTCGACGTCCACATTCAAAATATGAAAAAATATCTGGAACTCATTGTCGTTCGTTAAGAACAGTCGACCGTTCCACTATAGGAAAGGAGGGACAAGAGATGGTCTGGAGAGACTGGGATGGCCCAGATTGTGGTCTATAATCGGATCGGTATAGAGACACGGTTTGTTGCCTTTTGGCTTTTAGCTGGCTGCGGGACTACACTGCGAGACGAGCACCGCGAAACTCTGACATATTCGAATCATACGAGGGGCACGTCACTTAAATGACGTCCTCTTTTAGACCACTGTCACGTTTCGAACACGTGAGCCACGCACACGTGTCTTTTACAAAGTGGAAAGGCAATTTTACGTGAAACTTGCTTGCAGTCTGACGGAAAACAGATTGCTATCGCGAGTCTGCCATTCGACATCGATGAACGTAAATCGTTTGATCGGGTAACAATGATCCACTCCTTTCATGTGGCGAGTAGATCTTCGATTTGAAAATGTAATCCTAATTACAACCGACGTGAATTTTCAACGACGATGATATTCGTCTATTTCTAAATATCTCTATCGTTTAGAATCGTATTTCAAAGGTGCGAGAAGATTCGAGAATTGCAATCTGGTCGATTGTTATTCAGGAGTGTGCATTTGGCAAGCGGCGAGAAGCAATTAAGAAGTAATAAGATGAAATTCGAAAGGTGGCACGACACGTTTCCGCGAAACTTAAGCGAACAGCGCGAGCTTTAGTACCGAAAATAAAGCGGCCAAAGCAGTCATGGCCAACCGGAATATTATCAAATGTCCAAGCACGCCAGAGACGATTTCTAAAGTCGCGTCTGGTAGCAGGAATTTCGATCGTCTCCGTTTATTAAATGCAAATAATATTTTGACAAATGTTAAAACATATTTTTTTTATCGGCTTTCCTTTTGTCGGACGATTAAAACACCTCTCGATATCTGTCGATTTTTATTTCAGATTCGTCCGGTGGCCTGGTATTTGGCATACCGCTGTCGCAGTGTTTAGAGAACGATAGGATCGCTAGAATCGCTGCCGGTGAGGTCTCGGACGTTGGTTGTCTGTCGAGGAGTAGCAGACACGGCAGTAGAACAAGCTTCACGAGTCTCATCGAACCGACTGTGGCAGCTAAAACCGACGAGGTAAGTTGATCGATTTTTCCTGGCCAGGGACAATTTATTAACCCAATTTATCAAATAAATACACTTTATTTCGACGCAGTAGGCGATACAGTCTCTCGAATTCAATTTCGCGGGAAATAAAAGGTAGACTCACGCGGGGGTTGAATTTACAATGAAAAATTTAATTCATTTTTCTGGATGACTGTTTGCGAACGTTTGAAACACGAAGATGAAACGAACACGCCCACGCGTCCATGGAAATCCGAGTCACCTGTTCCAGATTGACGTGAACTAATCTGCACGCGAAACACTCAACTTATCCGATAGAAGTTTTAGTGTCTCTCGGTGTGAAAACTACTGTTACAGCTAAGATAGGTGGTGCTATTTTTTAAACGAGGTATTTTCAGCAGTTGCGTGGCAATGATGTCATAGAGAGTCTTTTCCTTAAAGAAACTTACCATAAAAATGGGGCAAATCTGTTTACATCTGAATGGTAAATTGATTGAAAACTAACAAATGCCAAAACAATGAGAAAGAAATTTGTTTTCTTTTTCAAAAATGAACTTGCCCCACTTTCATAATAATTATCTTAATTGTCGGATGTAGCTTTACTTAGAAATACGAACGACGAGCCGAGGGTTACAAGAGCGTAAGAAATGAAAGGCGTGTTGTAAAACAACTCGAGATCACGAATGCGATCAGAAACGGCGTCATCTATTGCGTCAGTGTCCGAGGATCGCGACGAGGGCGTTTATCGATGGCCACTTGCGCGATCTAGGGGCTTGGACGTTCGAGAAACGGGCCGCAAGTGGTTATTTTTTGACGGATACGTCAGTATGACGCCGCTCGAAACAGCACATTCTGTATTCTATCTCGCTAGACGGCAGACAACTCTATCCTTTGCCAAATTCTCTCACCGAATTTAACTAAAGTTTCGTGCAATTAAATGCCAATGGGTGCACCGAAGTCACCTAGACCTATGCATTACGCGATCGAGTGTTTTTCGTTCAATTCGTAGAGAATTTTTCTCCACTGCTACTAATTATAAAGATGACTATGATAATTGTCGCAACGAAGGGTATCAATCATAGTATCCGTTCGTCTAGTGTATTTTGTAATTTCAAATAAATTATTGAATATTCTAAAGCTTTTATCAGATGATTATGTTAATTATTTTAACGCTTTTATTAAATAATTAGATTTATGATATTTACTGCGGTTAAACTTGGACTCCTAAGTCAGTGTTTTTTCATTAGACGAACGGACACCATGATAGATAGATGGTCGTCAATAAATAGGTTCACTAATAAAAAGCCTGTCATTTTTTCCTAATAAAATCGTTTACAATTTTTACAACTTCTTAAATTTTTATTCGCCATCTGATCCTGAAAGAATCGATTTTAAGACTCTCTCAACTTTTTATCCATCTATTTCACCTTTTAACCGAATCTATTTTTTGGAAAGCTATCTCGACCGGAAGTAAATGTTTTGATTTGAGAAGCACCGGCGCCACCTGGCCGGGGAGCAGAAATTTTTTTTTTTTCTCTTCTTTTACGTTCTCCACCCGAGAACTCGGACGTTCGTTGCGTTATTTTAAGAAAGTCGAAGATTCGACCTGCGCCTCTTGATTTACACGATCCAATCTAATTTCCGACCGTTTACGTTTTTGCGTATTGATTTTTCGATTTATGAGCCGCGCCGGAAGATTTGTTCGCGGACCAGGATTTATCTTAGCCAGACGCAATTTTTCTATTGTTTATCCTTTCTCTATATAATAATTTCACTTTTACGGTTTTTTATTATAATTATTGTGGACCACAATCGTGGACTACAATCTGTTAGTAGAGGTGACAAGCAAAAGAAATAATTAATGCCCCCATTCATTGTTCGGAAGCCATTAAGTGTTCCTTTTATTGAAAGGACACTTACAAGGGTGTATACAAAGTAGCTCGATTTATTTTCCCCGGGAAACGTTCTATTCAGAATGTAAATAATTGAAAGGTCCCTTATGAGCCCGTGACGCATTCTTTCCGTGTGGGTGGAATTTTTCCAGCACCGAGAGAAATTCCACCGGTTACGAGTCAGAAACTAAAGCTACCCTCTTAATCTTCTTTCCCGTGAAAAGAAGATTGCATCTATTTTGTCGACCCAAATATCGTTTTAAATACATACTTTCAGAAGTTCTAATCTAATCGAGGAGAGAAAATTTTACGAAGAAGAAGCTGGATAAATTTCATGGATCCATCAGTGAGATTAATTTTCTCCTTGATTCATCGGCTGTCGCGTCACGCGACACGTGTTTCTTATTGATAAAAGTTTCACCGGTGACTCGATGAAATGGCACACGTTTAAATAGCTCGATTGATCGATTTAAAACAATCCCGACGTAGCGTTGTACTTCCCTCGTCGACGTCATGTATACCTGAGAGTCGACGACGAAGAAAACGTCACAGATCACAGACGTAAATAGAACCGAGATGAGAGAGCGTTAATTTTAGCCGGGAATTAATTAAGAGCTCCGAACTTTGCAAGATCTTCCGTCCGCATTGACGAACACAAGATTTCTATTCAAAATCGAACGAATTATAAATGACGGTTAAAAAAAGAACGTTAGTATACAAGCCATAAATTCCTGATGAAACGTTAGAGCCGTAAGAATTTTCTAGGAAAATTCACGGAAAAACGCTTTCCTGGATAATTCCTGTATTTCTTTCAACGACACGACACTCGACTGATCCTTTGTGCATCTGCAACGAAAGCTTTCATGCGATGCAATTCCAGAAACCCTTTACTCTCTGATGCAACAATTGAAAGGAATAAAAAATTGTTTCAGGGTGGATCTTGCGATTCTTTGTCGTCGAAAGGAGGAGCTCTAACCGGAAGCGATTCCGGAGTGCTCGAGCTTAGCGATAGCGGCGGTGGAGGTCCTCCAGGAGAATGGGACGCCGTACCGTGTATAGTCAGGCAATGTATCAGGCACTTGGAGAACACGGGACTTCGAACCCTCGGCGTGTTCCGGGTGTCACCCTCGAAGAAGAGGGTGAGACAGGTGAGAAATTTTATATCGATCGATCAAAATTCCTTCCGCTTAAAATTGGGCTTAATTAAATGTAACGCGAACGCTAATCGTTCCGTTTTCAATTGTTGTGTTACAGTTACGAGAAGATTTCGATTGCGGTCGTGAAACGAAAATCGGACCTGATCAATGTCCCCACGACGTGGCGGCTCTGTTAAAGGAGTTTTTTCGGGATTTGCCTGACCCTCTGCTCTGCAGAGATTTGTATCAAGCCTTCGTTCATACGCAAAGTAAGGCCAAGCTGAAAATCACGATCGAGGGGGGGAATAAGCTGCTTAAGTTAAGATGGTTCTGAGCTTGATTAATATTCAAAACTTAAAACGGAATAAATGGGAGAATCAATGGTAAAAATAGCAGTAACAACGTCGCGATTGTTAAATTTGCCAGATTGTCAAATTAGATTTCATATAGAGACTAAAAGGACCCGAAAAAATGATTGAGGATACTTATTCTTGCTTCGTTACTTACCGTTCAGTTTCCCCTTCGTCGATGTACTTTATCTCAACATTGACGTACGAGTGTCTGTTCGCACTGAAAGAGTGCCGTTTCTCGTGCAGAGATCCGGAACAGGCGACTTCAGCAAGAGGCTCTTCAGCATCTCATTCAGCTGCTGCCCACGCCGAACCGTGAGACGCTCTGGGCACTTCTCAACTTCCTCAGCGTGGTGGCGGCGAACAGCGAAGATCGAAAGAGCGACACCGGAGAATGGATGCCGGGGAACAAAATGGACACCACCAACTTGGCAACGGTATCTTATTTTTTTTTCATTTCTATTCATTTGAATCGAAAGCTCGTGGTAACTTTTCCTGAAACAGTGACTTGTTATCGTTATTAAATATTCGTCTTCAAGGTATTCGCACCAAACATCCTTCACTGTGTGAAACCTGGACAAAGGTCAGAAGTGTCGGCGGAAAGGGCGGAGGAGAGGATAGACGTAATAAATGTGGTGAGAGCACTTTTGGAACACGCTTCGACATTATTTACGGTACCAGCCGCTCTTCTAGATGAAGTGTACCTGCACATGATGGACACCCATCCGGTCGATCTGGATCTCGCCCTTTCTCGACGCGCTGAAGAGTAAGTTGCTTTTCTGCTCTGAATCCTTGAGGGAAGTTTCCAAATAAAATAAGGAATTTTAGATATGCTCGCTGTGTTCGTTTCCTGCAAAACTTCTCGATACACTTTCATCCCCTTCGTATGGCAGGAAGCCAGGAAAATTCACGGATACGTCACTGCGATAATGAAAGATAAATTAACAGAAAATTCCGTGTGTGGTTTCTTGCAGACAATGCGGGGACGAGGCGGATCCGTGCAGCGAGGCTGAAACCTTCTCGGTCGAAGAGACGCTGACAACGTCGACGACGACCACCACTGGCACCACCACGTCTACGAGAAAGGTAACCGATCGAAATCCTCGACCGTGTCATTCCCACGCTTCGCGTTTCTGGAAAAAGAAAAGAAATTCTTAGTATCTTGTCTAAATTCGATTATTTAAGGTGTGGACCAGGGAGCAGTGTCTCCATCAGACAGCTGGCGTGGGTGGAGACATAGGTCCAAGGCCGAGACGGCCGAAAAGGCCAGGGAGTCGACGAAAAGAGGAGGGCAGGAGTAACAGCGTGGACAGCGGATCCAGCGAGGATCCAGCTGATCCTCGAAGAAAATCCTCGCCTATGGTAATCACCGCCAGTCTAACCATACCGATGTCCGGAGCGTTCACGTTGAACCTCGACGATCCGGACATACCTTACATCGAGGAGGCACCCAAGCAACCCAGTGCACCGCCCAGAAGGCAAAGGCAGCGATCGATTTCCGGTTGCAGCGAAGGTACGCGAAATTCCGCATTCCATTTCGCTTCTGATCCTGAAAGAAAATCGAACGTTCTTATGAAATATCTGTTCGAAATATTTGTTGACCAGGTGGAAGGCATGGAAGCGACAGTGCCGTCGGTTCCTCCGCCACTTTGTCCGGCGACCAGGCACCAAGTTCCCCACCGTCGTGGGCGTCGTCGCCACCAGCTAGTCCAGACAGTGCTGTTACCACCGTTTCATACATACCCGATCAGCAAGCGGTTCTTCAAAGGGTTTCCTTCACTACGTCGAGCGAAGTGCGCCAAGTGAACAGGTCGAACAACCAGGAGACGTCGAGGAGTATCGCGGCCCCTTACACGCCGAGCATCACAAGCATCGGTGGCGCGGTTCTGAGGTGAGAATCCTGAACCTCTCAACTATGCGAGCTTCCGTATTAAGACTGACAGGAATTGCATCGCTGATCTTGATTCGTGATACTGTTCTGGTATGCGTGTAGAGCATTTAGGACGATTCGTTGACCTTGTTCGATGCGGTGCAACGTATCGAACGTTCGTTCACCTTTCCAACGCGTTATGGAATTTCAAGCGTTTTTAATTGTAAAATAATATCGAGAAATTTTCAATTCTGTTTGAGAATTCAAATGCAAATATCTACTCTTCTTTTTTTTTTCAGGTCAAAGACCGCCGACATCGAGAGGATGTTACACATCTCTCGACCCGACACAGGCATCACCGTGTCGCCGCAAAGCAAGACCAGTTCCACGAACACCTCCTCCGACAGCAAGAAGTATACCAAGAGACGATACACGGACTCGAGGCATCAAACTCGCCACATCCCTGACTCGGAAACACTGGCGGGCAAAAGTGCGGTAACTGTCACATCCTCGTCCTCCGTTACGATCACCTCTTCGTCTTCGGCGACCAGCACACCAAATCAGCGAGCTGGAGCGCAACCGGTCTGGAAACGACGGGAGCTTATCTCCAGCGCGCCTAAGGAGAGGGACGGGTATTTCTGAACGACCATCCCCATGATCGAATCGAAACCACCTCCATTAGGCTACGTTTCTTAATGGATACAACAAAAGTGATATCGTAACGTGCCTTATTACGTACAGCCATTTTTTAAGGTCCGTTTATATCTACAGACTTTGAACGTGCCAGACACGAGAAATATTCTTTAATACATTTTTTTATATTTTTCTTATTAACGCTTCTCAGACGAGCGATAGCATCAATTATCAACATATAAAATCTCATTAAAATCTGAGGGAGATATTCAGTAAATCCAGCTTATAAGTCTCTCTGTCAATGCGAATATTTGGCACCTTCAGTGTCTAAAGATATAAAGAAGGAATCCTGAAGCTGTCCTACCATTGCCCAAAGGGCAACAACACTCTGGTAAAACTTTATCTGAAAAATGATCGAGATACCCGATTCGATCGTTAAAATGTCCCGAAGAAAAAGATGAATATAGTCACTGCCGTTCAGACGTGGCCTGGCAAAGTGTTCCTTCGACACTGATTTCTCAGCTGATGAGGAATCGTGTACTACTCGGTGTATCGTGGGGTGTCTATTGGTTCCTAGACTACCGTCCTCGCGCTCGCAAAGATCTCTATTGATGAAATATGCACGACTATCTATCTCATTCTCTATCGTTATCTCTCCTCTCAGACTCCTCGAGGATTCGTCTGATCTGGTATCAATCGGCCAGAATGTGACCGGATAGAGGATATTTCTACCTTACGGTTTATTTATACGGAAAACGATAGAACATCGATCTGTATCTACGGATGTAACATTCTAATGCAGTAGCGACTGGTTAGTAGCGATTTGTAAATTATTTTTATTACTTAAAGCGAAAGGGACTCGATGTGTCGCATCGTATCCTTCGACGAGCCAAAGTTAAGAAAAGAAAACTAGTCCTTGAAACTCGTATCGGGCCATTATAATCTCTCTCGATTCAATCGAATTCTATTTTCTAGTTTATGTTAGAGTACCTTAATGATCTGGTAGTTTTGTGATCTAGCGATAACGAACGAGATGAGGCGAACTGATTGAATTCTATCTCTTCTGACACTTTCTTTGTATCCGTTCATTTTTTCTCGTTTCTTTCTTCTTAACTTGAATTCTTCTTGAATGGCTGTTCGTGCACGTGAAAGGGTTTCGAAACGAATCCGTGTACTGACGTGAGGGACGCGTGGCCCGAAAGACGCTGTTGTTCGTCGTTTAAGTTTTCATTTTCATTCTGTAAGCCAATAAATGAAGGTTAATTTTTCTACCAAGCCGAGTACCTTCTTTTCCATTTACCGAGTTTCAAGGGAACCCTGGATGGCGTAGACGCGGAGCCGCAACAAGTATTTCAAAAAGTTGAGAATTTTTAACTGAAACCATTATTTTTCCAATTTTACAACTAAATTCTTGAAGTTTACATCTATTTTTATTCCTTCTTTTCCATTTCCCGAGTTTCAAGAAAACGCTGGATGGCGTAGACGTGGAACCGCAACAACTATTTCAAGAAGTTGAGAATTTTTAACTGAAATCCTTATTTTTGAAACTTTACAACTACATTCTTGAAGTCTGCATCTATTTTTATTCCTCCTTTTCCATTTCTCGTGTTTCAAGAGCCGCAACAAGTATTTAAAAAATTTGAAAATTTTTAATTAAAATACTTATTCTTCAAACTTTACAACTAAATCCTTGAAGTCTATCTTCTATTTTTATTCCTTTTCACGTAGCTCAGCTTTCATTCTGCATTTAGTATAATCGTAGAATATATGCTATAAAAGATATATTTTTCATAAACGTACAACAATTATTACATGATCGTAAAAATACTGACGGTGAAATGAATTACAAGAGAACGAGGTGTGCGGATGATCGTGGGTCATAAAAATTTCTTTATTATCAATCTCCTCGCATACAATCGTGCATTTAACGTTATACTGGTCGTTATAAAATTCATCGAGACGAATAGAAACATTAACATTTTTTTTAATAATCAATAGCAAAAGGGTGCAAAAGGTGGAACACAAATTTTATATAACGTGTGAATCTGTAATCTGATTTAGTAGGAGACAAGGCCGATGTGACAAGAGGTAAATTATTAAATGCACGTTGAAATAATCCTGGCACAGACCTTGTGTTAAAAACATTCATACAATTCGTTTCGTTTCGATAAGAATTATCAAGAGCCAACAATAAAATTCAACATAGGTGCACCGCAGCTGCTTCATTCCTTTACAATAATATCGAGGCAATCACATCATTTATTAATCATTTACACCTTACGAGATTTAACAGAAATTAGAAGAATTCAAAAGATTCAGAAATTCTGAAATTCTTTATCGTACCATCTCTATCAAAAGTTTCAGAAAAATCGTTTCAGCTAAAGCCAAACTTCCATTAAATAAATAAGTGTTCAATAAATATCTACGTGTAAGGATCAAGAAAAAAAAAAATAAAAGAAACAGAAGGTATCATCGGACTCTTATCAAGTTGGACCTTCGAGTAGAATCATAAATAATTTTAATACCATACGGTGGAAAAGTAGATGCATAAAAAGAAAAACAGTTTCTAAAAAAAAAAAATGTGCCACGATACCAACAGTAACAATAAAATGAAATAATAATAATAATGATAGATTCTAACGATTAAACGGGCATCGTTTCCTTCCTGACCAATGACACGAGCGAATAAAATTTCATCTCGGATACACGCAACATACATATACATATTTATATATTTATACATAAATTTCTTTCATATATATATATATATATTAAAACAATCACTAAAAAATATAAATATATATATATATAATTCTCACCGTTTCACGGCTAGCTGCCTATGCAGGGCTGGACGGATGCAACATAGTAAGTATTTATTTATAATTCATCCCTCAAACGAGGAAACGCTTAGTTAAACTTAATACGAACAAACAAGAAGTGTACAGAGAAAGGAGAAAGGTTAGATTTAAAAAAAAGAGAAAGGAAGTAAGGGAAAGGGAATAGGTAGGAAACGTATCACCTATCCTGCGACTTCTATGACGCACAGCAAAGTTATTACTGGAATTCGATTTTCAAGTTTTATTTTTATTTCTCTTAACTTTCATAAGTTTAGTTTTTACGTTAAGTATTAACGATACTTAACAGGTTTATCTATTTTTTTTTTTTTAAATAAATATAGGTCGTTAAAAAGATGGTGGACGGCAGAGTTTAAGTATATTATAAATAACATTCATTTAAATTTAAATATCAGATTCACCGAATCCCAGTAATAATATTTTGTCGTTTATTAAACGTCATTAATTATTCACAGTATCCTCGACTTAGCTTCGGCCATCGCGTTTCTACGCTTAAAAAAAAACGATAATTAACAATATCAGTTTCGATCTTCCTTCTTCGATTATTCAACAACGTAATACTCTTTAACGATATGCTGTACCAACCGTGACGTCGAATCAGTGTAATTAAGCAATTACACTTGATACGATTCGTCGTTAGACCAGATATTAATTAACCATCAACCCTTTGCGGCCCAAGTTTAAACTAATCACCGTCGATCTTATTAACTTTCAATTAAACTCGTGCAGGTACAAGGGCAAATTCTTGGACAATACCGAGCTGATCGGTATTAAAAATATTGATTACCTCCTACCGAAGTCGATTTTCTTAATATAATAGCATATCGGCTTACATTCTCGATACTGTTCTAAAATAAGTCGAACTCGTTGACAGCCGATCGCGTGAGGCAAACAGACCGCAAAGGGTTAAATTCTTCTTGTTCACGGCTGGAACCGCTGGGAACTTAAAATGTAATCTCACCGAACACGGCTGGCTAATTCTCTTCACGGACGGCCAAGAAATCTCAATCCAACGACGTCGTTCTCGAGACACATGTTTCTTTTTTTCTTTCTTAACGACATTCCATTTTCTCTAAGTGCAATATTTATCACCTTATTGAGTGATATAAATAATATTTCTGTAAGTGGAATAGCGAAGGAAATAAAAAAATATAGAGTTTCATTAAAGGAAATTAATCTGACCTTAAAATTATTATTCCATCTACAGAAGAATTATTTATAAATTCTTTTTATGCCAAACAACTTTTGTAAAACCAATACTTTTTATTGCTTCGGTTTCTTATATCTCAGCGTTTCTAGTTAAAGGAAAATACTCTGTACGTACCGGTGCTGTGCGTCTGAGGAACGCCTTGAATCGAAGGTTACAATGTTCTCGAAGACGTCACGACGCCGTTGGAAATTGTAGTCAGAGCAATTTCCCTCGATTGCTTGATCAGTTTTAACAGCACTCATTTCCTACGTCTTCTTGCTCGTCCACCTACCACGCGATCAAACTTTTCGATCTAAGGTCATCCCATCAATTCCTCTAATAACGAACGATTCTCAATGCAAGCTTTCAGAGTAATCGTCGAACGATTGATTATTAGAAAACTTCCGTTTCAAATAATTGCCTACACGAGTTTTGCGTTCTGTCTTCGAACAAGAACCGCGTCGTTAATTGAATCGTTACGAAACTTTCGTTAAAATCTGTCGTCGATCGTTGAACACATATTTGCGGTTTTCGTCAGCTTTCAAAGCGAGTGAAAAAAATTATTCCGACGACGAAACGTCAATATTCGATCCTAACGAATTATTCGTCGACGTTTACGATATGTCTTTTCAAGTCATATACGCGTACGAAGGAAAATCTTGAAAATTCTCGTTACACTTCCGTCGAGTGAGTCTGAATTCGCACCTTCTTTTGCGAACCGTTCCTCGAAAGGGTTGGACTGTGCGCCGAGAAACCGGGATTATGGATACCGAGAGGTTTCGGTTTCTTCAGGGAGCTTCGAAGAGGCGAGGCTGTACTAGCCACGCTACCGGAAGTCGCCACAGACGCCATCGAACCGTTTCCTGCACCGCCAACGTATGGCTTACCACTGGCGTCCGTCATAGAGATACTGCCGCCTGGAAATTGAATAAACACAATTTTCTCTTTAAAAACGATACATTTTTTAATTGAGTTTGCGTTGCGATTCCAATAGCAGCGGAAGTAATTTAGATGTCCAAGTGTCAGACATTCTGTATATACAGGGTGTTAAAAAATATCCTGAAGACCTCTACACCGCTGGATAGATCACGAAAAATCGAAGCGATAAGTTCTGTAGCATTTTTCGATCGGATCAGTAGTTTAGCTATATTTCGTTGTTGAAAATTGAAAAATTGACCAATCTGCGCGCAGCTTGAATTTTTCACTTCGATTTTTCATGATCTATTTAACGATGCAGGGGTCTTCAGCGAATTTTTTAACACCCTGTATAAGTTTCTTCAGTTTATTTGTCGTTCCTTCCGATATTTGTCCGTTTCTTTGACGATTGCTCTACCAGACCTTATTTCCTGCTTTTAGTGTTTGTTTCCTCTATTCCATCCAATTTCGTCCCATATCATCCCCTATCTCCCAAAGTTTTTATTTCTCTTCTCCCTTATGTGTATCCTTTCTGTTATCCCTTCCGTTACCTTGACTCCCATCACCGTCACATCGGAATACACTCCTCGGGCATATTGAGTTTCCAGCAGCTGCCAAGTGAAGCTCCTTTGACGTCGCATCTTGAAACCTTCTTCCATGGACGCGAACTTAAAGGGTGACTACCGATCGAGACGCGTTTGATATTCGAAAGTGAAACAGGATAGTCGATACTGGTCGGTGAAATTTTATATACCCGATTGATTTTATCAAAATATGAAAAAATAGCAAGTCACAAAAGTATTATTCCATCCTTTAAAACAAAATAATCAACGATTCATAAATTTTAATAAAGGAAATTTGCCCTTCAATATTACGCTCGGTTTCTTGCAAACGGATAAGGTAATTATCAAACTCCTCCACGTATTGTTGCGACAAAATTGAATCAAAATTCAATGGACCTCGCTTTGCAATGCAAAGTGTGTTTTGAACGTTTCGTAATACCTGGTGCTTTACTACGAAATGCTGCTGTTGTTTCTCGTGAAACCTCTACACTGTGACCCAGTTATCGTGGAAAAACTTATTAATGCGTCTGCCCTTGAAACGTGAAATGATCACAGAGAATGTTGATTTAATTCAACACATCAAACTATTACTTATCACCTTTACTCGTTTACTTAAATGAAAATTAGATCGTCTATTACAAAATTTGCAGAAACTTCAATGAAACTCACCGTTCGTAGGTTGATGTTCCCGGTAGCCAGGATTATTTATGGTGGTTGCACGAGGATCACCGACAACCCTAATTTTCGTTGGATCTCCGCCTCGTCGAGCGTAAATACCCTCGTACACAGCGGCGACCAGCACGCTAAAGTTCAGAGCGATTGCAGCCAACTGCAACAACAAATTTTCAACCCTTCAATTGTAGTAATTACAAAGACTCCGTATCAAATCCAGGAAAATTTCCTCAAAACGTTGAACATAATATAACGGTATTGTTCTAAAATTTATAAGCAGCTTGGTTTTCCCATTGTTCCCCTTTGAGACACTTATTTCAGCCAGTTTATCACGGGAATCGACTCGGGCTCCGACTGTTTTGCGAAACAACGTTTGATCAGAGGTGAAAGAGGACGAAGTAGAAGAGGGATTTAATTAAGACGTACAAAGACGATGACCAGGAAGCCATTGTTTCACGGTAACAATTAATTCAACCGCTGTTTTTTTTCTACCATCGTCAGTTGATATCGCCGTGGAAAAGGGAAGAGCGAAACACGATAGTCGAGTTAACAGGTTGACGAGAATTTAATTAACAATGTCGCTTTCTAGCCAATTAGCATATTAACCAATATGCGATTTCTTTAAAGTAGCAAGTATTTTGTAGGAATACCTACAGTATAATAAAAACAGGAAAAAAAAAACACCTAAAGGGTGCCCTTTCTCTGAATACCCCTTTATTGCCTAATGTATTTGAAATTCTTTTCGTAATAATCAGTGGCTTGAAATAAAACAAATGAACGTGAAGTCAGAAAATATGAAGCAACCAATTTAGACTGTTAGAAAGTTTCTTTATCAGCAAATACAGATATGTCCTAACTTTATGCCATTGCGAGTAGCGGATGGATTTTACCTTGCCCTGTTTCTGTTTGTTCATTTTATCCAACTCGATCTCATCCTTGGCCTCCCGTAGAAGGCTACGCCTCTTCTTTTCCATCATCTCGGATTGCAGATTATGGTATGTCGGTACAGCTATTGTCGCGTAACAAGGATAAAGGGCATCCCATAAAATCTCCATACGTTTCAGTATCCATTGTACGCAGATATGTCGCGAGGTATGGCTTTTACGTGTTCGTTTAAATTCATAGATTTTTTTCAATGCTGAATTCCACTTTATTCCTTCCGTTACTTGGTAATGACACAGACCTCTAACAGCAATGTTTCCTTATGTCACACGTCTCTTACCACTTTCGTGGTCGTACTACCACGTCAATTAATACTAGGTACTTACGTCGCAGCGCTTTTATGTGGAACACTATTCAATTTATGATAAATTTGTGAGGGAATTTATAACAGTTGAAAATCAATCAAGTGCTTTCGCACTGAAATTTAAAAAAATTAAAAAAGTAGAGCTAATAGCTTTGTTGCCTTTTATCTTCACTTTATTTTGCTTTTCATTTTTTTAATATTACAAACTTCTATAGGACCAAATTCCTTGCTGTTTATTTAAAACAGATATTAGGTAGAATGTAGGATAGTTTCAAACACCGATCGATTACACTGTCCAACAAATTTCAACTTTTTTTTACGTGTTCCGATATCCACCATACCACTGACTGTTATTTAAGACTTGAAAATGAAGAACATAGGATGAATCACCAATGTTTATCCACTATATTTCAAGCTTACAAATGGAACGTAAACCAAAAACGACCAGGTGCGATAGATGTTACGAGGTAGCGGAGAATATGCTGCTTAATGATTCATACTAAAACGTTCATTAACTATATGAACATTACTTTTATCTCGTTAGATCACTGATTCACGTATGAAGCGTAATTTAAAAATGAAAAAAGAAATTGGAGAACTGAAACGACAGAAGAATGTCCACTGAAAAATCACTATTAATACGGTTTTACCATCTTTTTAAAACTGGGTCGCTAAAAACGTTCAATAATATCTTCACGTTAAAATGTTAATCAAAATTCATTGATCAGAAATCAAATTTCGTATGTTAATAAGAAGATGAATAAAACCCAGGATGGTAGATCACTATATATGGTTATATAAGAAAATTCAACGACGAAATGGAGAACGAGGACACGAAGGTGACGAACGAACCACGCCAAAACGTTCACTGAGGGCCCGGCGATGTCGTCCTATTGTTTTTAAAGTGTCCAATAGTCATGGGTGCTCTGACACATACTAAGCAATCCCCACAGAGGATCTTAACGAGACACCTGCGGACTGTTCCTGATCAGGTGGCCTTTAAGTATTTAATTCCCCGATCATGAGCGCTCGTGTATAAGTTTCACACCTCGTTTAGGATCTGCGTACGCCGTTGGAAAGAAAAACGACGTGGATCGTTCGTCGGATCAATTTTTAATGGTAGATCAAAATTAACCCTTATCAATGAAACTGGCGTACAGTAGGACATTTGCAATCGAGGAATTGTAAAAACTATCGCAATAATTCTTACTTATAAATATAATACCGAATAAGAGAAGCCTACCTGCATATAGAACGCCTCTCCCCTAGTAATAACGAAACTGCTGGCTCTGTCATCAGTCTGCAGGGCGAACAAACTCGCTGCTACGATTGCCAATGATGCTGTAAAATGAAAAATATTCAAATTTGAAAGACTTACCTTGCAGGGTATTGAAATTTTTTAATTTTCTGTATATTTAACCCCTTCGTTACTGTAAACAGCTATAATCTGAAACCTAATTGATAAGCTTTTGATTGTCTACGATTTAATTGAAATAACAAACCCAGATGTGTTACAATTATTACGAGGATCTTGATAATATGAATTACTCGTTTAGTTACTATTAAGTTATAAAGTGATAGCGCTTATCTGTTTCATCTACCAGCGACAGGTAAAGCGTTAAGGATATGCTACGGATAGCATCAGGAACTGGGAATTCATTCATTCATTCAATGTAATCGAGTACGCGATCCTGTATGATTCTACGAGTTTAGCACGTATCGCTTTACGGCAACAAGATCCACCGCAGATATTCGATTCTTCGTCTAAAGGTAAGTAGGCCACTAAGTAGACAAGTCACTGGTAATCCTACCATGCTCGGACTATTACAAAACTTTCAGGTTATCCTGGATAAAGGACTTCTTCGCCTGAATTGCTTTCTGTGATTCTCACGACTTTCATAAGACTTTGGAATTTCTGTTCAAATATTCATTAGAAACAGAAATGATTATCCTCTCCCGCTGGTAAGATATCCATACGTTAATACAAAGTCATTGGGTGTGATCATTATTCGCATTTAAAGTATTAAAAAAAAATCATATCTAAATCTTTACCATAATTTTTGTTCAGTGTATAATTACAGGCTCGAAGGATTAATTAAAGAGTAATTTAACTAAAACGTATAGAATAAAAAACAAATTGCAACAGAAAATACCATTATTATATGATAAAAAGGAAGAATATATACATAACTAGAGAACGTGATTCAACTTCTCGAATTCATTTCCATTCCAATTTTTCAGCACTGCATAAAATTATCCCAGTAATAGCCACGTGCATTCATCAGCGCGTGTCTTTGCATTTTATCACGGTGATACGAAATCATAATATTCAGTTGTAAAAGTAATCTATGCTATGCTCATCTTAATTTTAAATTCCTACTATTTCATCTTTTCTAGTTGCTCCTACGAGCACTTCGAAAAGTTAAGCTTTCAATTATGTACTTGGGGGAAAGAAAAATACTTACTGGCTAACGTAGCAAGGGCCACTTTTCCTATCAGAGCGGTGCTGTACGAGATAAGAACTCGTTTCGCCGAGGAGGCCATCGCTAATTGTAATATAGCAAGCCCTACCAAGATCGCCAAAAGGGCAGAGGCTGCTGCAGCTGCCAATCCTGCCACCCACACAGCCACTGTGGAAAAAAAAGAATTAAAACATTCATTTCATTATTTATTCGATATTCCCTAGGAAGAATCTAGAAAAATATTATGTAGAAAATGAACTCACAGACTGGTTGAAACCTGGAAACGCCTTGGCCACATCTCTCTCTACCGTAGAGCAAGAGTTTGCACTGCCTCCAAGGGCCAAAGTATCCCTTCTCGGCTGCTGAACCAGCTGGAAAATTAAGAAAAAAAAGATTTTAAAGTTTTTATGAAATGAATCGAAGGTTAATTTGCCTGGAATCAAATAAATCTTAAATTTTCTTACAGATTGAAAATCATTCAAGCAGGAAACGAAATCCTTCGACCAGAAAATAACACATTCAATAAAATTCTAGGCAATCCTTTCACGAAGTTTTTCCTTGTTTCCTTGCCACCTAATCGAGATCTTCGAGCAACTTAATGAGGATCATCCGAGCGAACAAACGAGACGTCCAATTTATCGGCGAGAAACTTTCACGAAGCATCGCATCGAGATCAATTACGAGCGTAATTTCGCGCTAGAAGAATCCTCCAACTCGCATAATCATCCCGGTTTGGTATCGAACACGCATCACTCGGTATCAAGCATTTCGAACTGAAACTCGTAAGCTCAGAGCACAAGTAAAATGCAATTTATCGTGATATTAATTTACACGTACTATGTATAGGATCGAGTAACTAGAGCAAAGATACAAATAATGTATACTGCCTGCAATTTCGCGATTTTTATCATTTGCGATCATTGTTTCATTTATTCCGATTTATTAAGTAGCTATTCCACCATTCGCACCTAAATCAATTTCATTGAACTAAAAATTATATTTCCTAACTCTTTGCTCTCCTTCCATGATACCGTATCCATAAAAGAACAATTACTAATTGCATTTTCTCCATTATTTTCACGGCACCGTGGCTCTGAAAAATGAATTCCTAATCTCTATTCCTACATCCGTGTCTTTCATCCTATTGCTAAATAACCAACGATCGGATAATTGTTTCACGACTTCGAACTTCGTTTACGTGTATACTATTTGATCTCACGATTTCACCAGGATATCGTTCAAAATCATCTACTTCCTCCTGAATATGCATCGTGAAATTTAAGAATAATGTTTCGAATTCGTGTAAACGAAAGATAATTAAACTACTTAGAAATTGTTACACGAATAACACTTACCGTCCGTTTCCGAACGCGATTCTCATTGAACCATACGTCTCCTGATTAGAAACGCAACAGAAAATCGTAAACCCGGTTGTAACTGCGATTAGATTAATACGCTATCGTAACCGGTGTCATAAATTAAGTATAATTGAAAAATGAAACGTTAAATTAACACGTTGACTGTCACGCAGGTCAGGAAATCGATAGATTTAGTATAACGGGATGCCTCGTTTCCATTACGAACGACTTAATTAATAAAAATTTGAAAGCAACACGTTTTTCACCCAGTGTTACAGTACGTTTACAACTTCCTCTAACGACCAGGCTTATTCTATTTGGCATCGAAGTTTATCGTCGCCACGCGAATCCATTTATCTCCGCGTAAACGAGCTTTATTAGGCGTAACCAAATGTTACAGCAACCCTTTTTCGCGTATCCTGACAAACCAGTTGAACAGTGCCACGAGTTACCATGAAAAGTGAAACGTTTTACGAAAATTAACAGAGCTGAATCCCTAAAATCGACGAACAATACATCACTGATGTAAAAATCTCCAAATTGTACCAATTAAAGAGAGTATCGAAAAAGGATGAATATTTTCTAAATTTTTTGTCCGCTTTCCGTTATTTTCTCCGTTCTCCGCAAATATTAAATTACATACCGATATCTGTTTCAATTATTCCGCAGGTAAAATATAAATATTCGCGTCTGTTGACATTTCAGCTGACTAAATGTCGCAATCTCGCGTTCCACCGTATTGTTCATCGAATTGTGCAGGGAATCGCACGTTGCGACACACGTTTCCACGCATAAAAATGTATAAATAATAATGGCTGATTCTGGAAACTCACGCTGTGGACTCAGCCCCGTGCGCCGATAAATTACAGAAGCACCTGCGACGTTACACGTGCTGTTCTAAATTAAAAACATACTCTGTTACGAACGGAGATAGAATTTTATCGATGTGGAAAACTTGGAATGGTACCACATTTACTTTTCTAATTTCGACTACGAAACGTATCATATAATAACGAAACAGTATTATTTTTAGTACAACTGTGTTTCATTCGTACTTAGTGCTTTATATAAACTATTATAATAGGTATTCAAAAGTGTTGGACGATTCTCAATGGGAACCAGCCCTGCACCCCTGAAAACTGTGTTCTCTCGTTTGTTTGATTTTATTAGACCGAAATGTGTTACTTGACGCTCGTACATCGACAAAAGATGAAACGTTTATTGTCATTACTGTAATATTAAACTGCACATGGTTTTGTTCTTTCAAACAATGCAACGAATACGAGCGAACGCGTAGGAGGTGAACGATACGTAGGTTGCATAGAAAAGATCTGTGCTGCGGTAATTCGAATCCTGTAATGCAACGTGCATTTAATATCGTATATAGAATTGCAAGTTCATGTGAAAATTTTGCAACCAACATCGATTCAATCGCGCGTTACTTTTATTCCCATGAAAAATTATTTTTAAAAAAATTTACATACAATGTATATTTGGATTATCGATAATGTAAATCGACAAATTCTGACAAATTCTATTGAAAATTTAATAGGAATATTTAATTAAAGATATCGATCAAACAAGGATACCAACGTACATGGAAGTTTCTTACATCAATGGAATTTTTCTTTCCCCTATCGTTAATACTCTGGTAATCGTAGAAAACTGGTTTCCTGTTTAAACGAAGGTACGATAGCGTTCAATCGACCACAACCGTTAAGCCACCGAGCAGACAGAAAATGCTTTTCTTTTCCTCCCTAACGAGAAAAAGTATCCAACTCGTTTTGCTCCCATGAAATTTCATTTAGCGCGATCTTTCACGAGTAGCTTGAAAACAAGTTCCTTACCCTTTGAAGATTTCTATAGTAAAAAGACTGCGTCTGATGATTGGAGTATATAGATAATATTTGATCAATTTGCAAAGTCATTAATATATTCATTTATGAAAAAATTTCAATGCACTTTTTTATCATTTGTTATTTTCCAAGGGACAAAACGATCCTGCAATAAAAGGGACGAAATACAAAACATTTTATAGGAAAATCCATTTCATTGTTCCACGAAATCAGAATGGTGGATACATTTCACAGGTATTACTTTGTCTCGTTCGAGCGTTGGTATTTTTGAATAAATGTTTAAATACGCTTCCAATAAACTGCGCTTTTAAATTTTCCGTATTTTGCGCTTGGAAAAAGTATCCAGTTTCCGGCTCGTTACAGTAGAATAAGCACCCTAAAACTGAGCAGGTAGAATAAAAATTCATTTGAAGTAAATGAAATGCTCGCTTCCCAGCTTACTAAAAACACGCACGGTTTTTATTGTATTTCTACACACATGTGTGCACGCGTCGAAAGTGGCACACGGTTCCTGTACCTACTGTACTGGAATGAAGTAACAGCACTAAACGGTAGCACAGTTAAACGTATAATACGATGGTGTTGCAGCGATAGCGATGGGTTATCGATGATTCCTAAGAGATACAGTTACGAAATTCTGAGCTCGTTATTACATACACACCGCTGGTTATAAAAGAGAACTGGTCATTATTCGAATAATCTTCGTTTATAATAATAATGCCCGAGTTTGCTACGATATAATAGACATTAGTGTGATTTGCTGGAGAAAGTGAAGGATAAGTGGCGTTCAATTTGAAAGTTAGACCATTAATCATTAGACAACTATGCTGTTCAAAGTAATTAGAAAATCAGCCAATATTAAATTATAGTCAGGATGAAATATGTACAATGTGTTGAAATAAAATAAAAGAAATGATGTCGACGGAAAAATTTAAGTGAAAAGTATCTAGTAAAACTTCGATTTACTTGAAGATGAATTTTCAGCTCGAATATTCGAGTAGTTCGATTTTTTCGAATAGCTCGCTTTTGTTTCAAACAGTTCATCGATTTCGAGTAATTCGGCAAATTCAAGAGCTCGACTCGACTCGACCGATCGATCATTGTTTCACTCGAAATTCGTGTATTCGAATAAATCGAGTACTCGCATACCTCTACAGCAAATGTTCTACATCCTATTAGAAAAAGGAATTCCAAAGCGGACAACTAGAAGCCAGGCACGCATAAAAGCGAGCGGAATAGCATGGAGAGGGCCGAGGCGAGTCGAGTCGAAAGGACTTCCGGCGTTTGCCACCCGGAACACGAAAGTCGCTCGAGCGAAAACGCGAGAGGTAACCGCTCTGAGAAGAAGAACAAACGAGTCGGTAAGATTCGAAACCGTCTATGTAGCAGCTTGAAACGATCAAGTGACCGTGCAATCTTCTAAGGAGTCGATCATCCTCTGGAACGTCTTTAAAATATGTCACGAATTTTTCCCTGAATGGTCTCCGCTCAATCGCTTGGATAGATTTTCTATTCGATACCGAGAAATTCAGCTGCGACAATTTTTGCACCATTATCCGACCTTCTATTCCTGAAACTCCCTCCAATCTACTTTTTCGTTCTACGTGGAACTAGAACCGAGGGAAAGTCGAGAATCGACCTTAATCGATCTCAGCAATTTCCTTTCGCGACAGATTTATTCTATTTCGAACGATTTATCATCCTAAAGGTCCAACAGAATCTTTGAAATCTGTCGAAGTTAATTATTCTACGTTATTACTTGTCTCCATCCCCTAGGATAGAGACGCCTACGTTGCACCCAAGTGTACACGATTACAATAATACAATGCCGCGATATAAAAATGAGAAAACGAAAGCCGTGATAGCGTTTCCTTCCATAGATTTCCCGTTGTACCTTCCCACTGGAGCGACGCGTTACGACGCCCACAAGTCTCCCCATAAGTTTCGCATTTTACGTCCTCCGCAAGAGTACGAGATCTAAGGTAATACGAAAAGTAATTTCGATACAGGTGCTCCTTTTCAACGTGTAATTTACACGATAATTTCTATAGAGGCCGGATGAACGGGATCCTCGTGTATACATAAGTGCATAGGTGAGAGAGTGGAAAAAATACAGCCACCGACACGATGTCCAATTCCAGCTGGCTTTCCAAGCCT